CGGTCATCGGCTACTGGCTTGAAAACGGTTTGACATACGACTTCGAAAATATTCCACTTGCAAGCTTTAAAAACTCTTAACTCTTTCTTAAAAAGTTTAACAATGGTAGACGGACAATAAATTTTTACGCCTTATTTAAAATTTCCAAGAGACCATTTATTGTTTTGTTTCGACAAAGAATTTAGTAAGTAATGATGGCAATCAATCTAATGACACAGAGATGTCATTAGTCGTTTCAATTCTACGTTACACGGTCTATTAATTATTTTAAGACTGATATATTAGCCCCCAAGTTTCCATATTAATTTCTCGCTACAGTCACTGTCTATTGCACTGTTAAACAAAGTCCAACATTTTCATTGTAGCATTTATCACGTGATTTTATAATAATGGACAATCCATTTTTGGGTATTTTCTTGTTACTCATCATAATTCTAAAGAATTACTCACAAGACTTTATTTTCGCGGTAAATCATACTTTATTTTGTACAGAGGTTAATAACACCTAATTCAAACTGAAAACAATACGAAAATAGCATATAACTGTCAGTGGAATAACAAATAGAAGTTTCTATTTGCGAATTGATCTGTCGCCGAGGTTTGTTGAGAAGTACCTTCCCGCACTATCACAGCGTAGCGCCTGACAGCCGATCAAGATTACATGAATAATGTATGCATTCACTTTGTGTACAGAAACCGACGTCATTTTATTTATCAGTTTCCACTGCCCAAACTCTAGCACAAAAATATATAGACATCCCTCTCTGTCTCGTTAAACAAATTGAGACGGCGATATGTTTTTATATAGATTTTTTAGCGGAAACTTGCAGACTTCTTAAATTATCTCTTTGTATACAGGAGTTATGCAATTTTCCATTTATTTTATGGCGTGTTTTGGTTATTTTAACTACAGATGAATGGAGAATCTCCTTTTTCTTTGAAAGTAATTTGAGAACGGACCTATTTAAAATGCGTTTTGAAACCGAACTCAAAATTTCTTTGATGCAAAATCTGCATAGATGCTAATCACAACTCCCTTTATATTTTAATTCAATTCAAATGATGTTCTTTTGAAAGGATTGCATAAGTTACCATCGAATTAGTAACAGTACGTAAAAGGATTAATGAGTATTTATTATTGCAAATCACAGAAAATTTACAATCTGAATAAAATTATTGTAACAGTTGTCATGTAGAGTAAGGCAATGAAATGGATTTATTTAGATTTTTGCAAATGAAAGCCAGGGCTAAGTTTAAATATAGTACAAGAACAAAAGAAAAAAATAACCGTTTTATCTACTAAGAGGTCGTATATTAATTACGTAATAGTTTTACCATGTAGTGATGTAATAAGTTTAGTGTTTTTTCGAACCTCTCCCTGCCCTTTAGAGCATCACGTTCGATTCCTAAATAAAATGGCATCTAATGAATTCAACGGTTCTCTACATTTGACAGTTCTAAGTGTATCAAGAATTAGTTATTTTTTCAGAGTTAAGTTTTATCTAAACAGTCCCATCGTTCAGATAAAACCACGTTCAATTTCGATAGAAAAACGTATGTTTCACAGTTTCCTAGTTGCAAAAATAAAAAAGCTCATGTATAATTCAAGGACTAGGAGAACATAAGTGTTGGTAACAATGAAATAAACAGGTTTTATTTGATTACATTAAATATGTTTATAATTATTCAAATTAGTACGATAAATTTTAAAATTATACCTGTTAGTTTATACAGAACTAGCTGTTCCCATGCGACTTTATCCGCATAAAATTATAAAAATTTCATATTATTGTTTACATTTGTCAAATTATCAATTGCAAATGTCAAAATGACATGACATGATGTCAAACCATGGCAACCTTGCTTCCTTGATGTTGGCAGCAACTTATGGTCTCTTTCCCACATTAGGGATTTTATCCAAAATATTGACCCCTTAGTTTAATCTCGCGAAAATATAAAGCCTAAAGCGTGACGTTAGTGTAGCGCTTTTTATTAACGAGAGAATAATTCAAAAATATGCTGTAATTGCTAACATCTTAGGCAACAAAGAAGTGTGTGTTTACGCTTTATTATAATATAGAAGATATAGACATAGACAGATATAGTAATATAGGATAGATGTTCAACATTTAATTATTCAAATAACAGTACTATTTGAACATTTACGTGTAATACTATAATTAATTGTATTTCTGATATCTTTTACAGTATGTTTTCTTTGACTATTTGAGTGGTAAATTCGCTATAAGTCTATTTTAATATATCTTATTAATATACCAAAATTGTATTCCGCAATATGTATCCTTATTATTTTGCTAAATTTAAATTTCCGGTTTCTCTAGCGCCGGCACGACGGGTCATTTGAATATGTGGTTTGAATGCTTTGTTTATGTACATCTTATGTTTTTAATATGTCACGTGACTTGTGATAACTCAATCTACATATAATTAACATATTAAAAGACGTTTAGTTATTTTAAAAACATCTCAAAACCGATATAACTGTCTAGAATATGGATACAATATTTTATTGAGTAACAGTAAAATCTTACTAATATTATAAATGTGAAAGTTTAGATGGATGGATGGATATTTGTTAGAGATTGTAGCCTAAACTGCTGAACGGATCTCAAAGAAATTTGGCATAGATGTAGAGGATAGTCTGGAAGACATAGGCTACTTGTTTTTTTTTAATACCACACGGACGGAGTCGCGGGCGAAAGCTAGTTCGCCATAAAATTACAAACACGTAAATTTTAAATGTCAAAATCTGAAATAGGGTATTTTTCTAAACTTTGCGACATTATAAAGCTTAAAAGCGCTAATAAACTGCACACTTAGAGTTGTTAATTGGTATTAAACACTAAGTTAACCTATAGCGTAAATTTCCCATACTAAGGAAACTAATTACAAACTGAGATATTACATTTTCTTATCTCTGCTTATAACATTCCACTTAGTCATTTAAATACTTTAGCGGCAGTCTATAATTTTTTTTTAACAATAACTTCTGGCTGTCAACAGTGCTAGTATAAAAATTAATGTGAACCATCAATTTATGGCTCCATTAATCAATTTATGTACGTAGTAGCTACATTGCGTTCGTAGTAGTGGTTAAGAGACAGAACCTTTGCCTTGGGCAGACCGGTTCACAACGACGGCGGGACTCTCTGAGGTCAACATATTAAATCACATGCTACTTTTACGCATTTAACTCTGTATCAATTGTTATTTTTACGCAGTTTATAAACATTAACTTGTTTTTATACAAAACTTTGTGCCCATGACAGAAATTAATCATTAACACAATAAAGTATGTAACTTCATTAGGTTTGCTTCTTCAACATCCTTTAATAATGTTTTGAACTGTTTTTGCTTATGTTTAAAAATTAAAATTTTTAGTATGATAGAATATGTAATAAAAGCTTGTAATACAATTTTAAGTAATGAAATAGTCTAAATTTATAAAAGTTTAAAAATCATTTACGTAAAACGTCCGCGCTCTACAAATGCTAAACTTAGTTGCTCCTGCACCGAAACAGTTATTTAAGACTAGCTGTCGCCCGCGAATCCGTCCGCGTTGTATTAAAAAACAAACGTAAGTAGCCTACGTGTTCTTCCATACTCTGCTCTACATCTATGTCAAATTCCATCCAGATCCGTTCAACCGTTTAGGCTACAAACTCTAACAAACATCCATCCATCTATCCATCCATCCATCTAAACTTTTACATTTATAATATTAGTTATAAAATTAGATTAGATTATTTTGAGTCAATTTTCCCTCTTAAGGTCCCAGAATATGTGGGTGTGGAGGAAGCCCCGAGAGAAAACAAATATTAGCTTAAAACGACAGTTTATTAGCATTTCTTTGTAGATATAAATCAAAAAAATGTGTACTGGCGTTCGTTTTTATTTATACACATGAAGTCATAATTTTTACTGACTTGAGTTAAATAGTTTCAGCAATCGATTGAAAATATCAAAACATTGTTTCACTTACAAATACTAGAGAACCAAAACACGATCAACTTTTTGTCAAATTTACGTCTTTGTCAATTGATTTGATAAATATACGACTTTGTTTCATACTTGAAATGTTTAAAGTATGTAACATATGTATAATTCGGCGTTCTAGGGATTAAATCAGTACCTTTCAGATTCCATGGTTGAAGCGAACCATTTATCGCATTATCGCATTCATTTGAGGCAAAAAAAAATAACGAAGGTTAAGATATCTGACGATGAGAAACTACTTTGATAGACAGTCACCTAGATACGTTTTTACCTTGTTTTAATGTAATGTATTTGGTGCTCGATAATGAATGGATAACAATAGGAATGGAGTTTTAATACAAACAAATTCAATTATTCTTAGAAGACATTAATCGATGATATCTAATTAGCAAGAGACGCCTATTTACAAAATCTTCAATCTAAATTGGTAGCAAATAATTGTTTTTTTAAACTAAAGACATTCAGAACAATATTTATTCTTCACGTAAGATAAAAATCAAAACGCAAGAATCTTATATATGCAGTCATCTTTGCAGACAAGTTTTGAATATCGACTTCCGTACTCTGCGAAACCGTTTTGCGGAACTAAGTTTAAAAAAACATATACTACAACCTTAAAACGAGATAATTACGAGAAACAATAACAAGGGCGGTGGGGCTGAGACATTGCCGCGGGTGGTGCTACAACGACGCGCTTACTCGCCCGCCATAAAGTCGCGCGACTCCCAACCA